AAACAAGGGACTGGGGATATAGCTCAGTTGGTACAGTGTTTGCCTCACATGCACAAGGCCCTGAGTTCAATCCCCAGTGCCACAAAAATAAGTAAATAAACAAATACAATAAAGGCATACTATAAAACTAGAAAGAAAATGTTTTAAATCTAACAATTTTCCTATGTACACGTATGAACATACCTATGTGAATTCCACCACCATGCCAACCCACAAAGGATCCTAATTAGAATAAGATATATTTCATGCTTGTATAATTTTATCAAAATGGATTCTACTGCCATGTCTAATTAAGAACCAATAAAAATAAAAGAATTATTGAAACAAAGATTTAAAAAATTAAAACATGTCTCTCAGTGAATATATACAGTATTGGGGGATATGAGCAACAGGTAATTTATATTTTACTATGAAAAGTGCATACTAGAGTACGCATGGGATTATAGTTACTAAATGTGAGAAACATCCACATCCATATCCAGTGTTGTGCAATGACTAAAAGTGGGAAGCACAGAGTACAGGCAAAGCCACAAGAGTCACTTAAACTAGATATGAGGTCAAGAAAAACTTGCTGTATGTGATAGTTGAGACTCAGAGTCTTCCAGGTAGAGTGAACCACCTTGTTAAAAGGCACTCAGGCCTAGGTAAGAAAGAGTAAAAACTCCTTGAAAAAATGTAAATAGGTGCAGGATGGATTAACAGTATAGTAAAGGCATGTGGTGAACTTAGGCTGAAGAGGTAAGTGGAAAATTCATAATCTTACACATTTTCTTAAGAGACATAAAACTTCAACCTGAGAGCAAAGATGTACCACCCAAGATTTCAGACATGGAAGTGACATGATTAAATGTTAGAAAGATCATTTGGGGCCAAGGATGTGCAATAGTGTAAGCCTGCAATCCCAGCTCCTCAGGAGGCTGAGACAGGAAGCTCATCAGTTGGAGGCCAGCCTGGGCATCAGCAAGATTCTGACTCAAAAATTTAAAAAGCTGGGGATGAGACATAGTTTCATAATTGAGTGCCTGCCTAACATGTGAGGTCCTGGGTTCAATCCCTAGTACTAGGGGGAAAAAAAAAAGCAGATGGTAAAACGTTTATACACACACACAGGAAGCTATTGTCATTTACTAAGCAAGAGACAAAATGGATTGAAATAAGACAATAGCAGTGTGATTGAATGCCTGAATGCTCTTTATAAATAGTGAGGGAAAGGCAGAAGTCAAACCTTATAGCCCAAATTTCTAGATTCAACAGTTGGGGTGGATGGTAGTGGCATTTATTTTCACTGAAATACAAGAAGGGCAAGTTTTCAGGAAAAGATGAGTTCTGTTTTGAAAATGTAGAGTTGCAGTACCTGAGTGATACTTTCATGTGATTCCAGTAAACAGCTGAATATACTAAATCTGAAGCTCAGAAGAGATCAGGCTTAGAAATGTGTATTTGAGAATCAGCAGTTAATAACTGAACAGTGAGATCAGTAGGCTATTCTGTTAATGTAACCAGCATCTTTTCAATTTTGATGAAACTCATCTGTCACTGAGTCATAGGAACTTTCTTGAGATCTTGATAATTATCTGATAAAAGATCCACTGGAAAGCCAAGTAAGGTAGTAAGGTTTCCTATGTTATCTTATTAAATAGTAGCAAATTACCTAGATGTACTAAAATTGGAATTTGTCTCCTTCCACAGTAGCATATTAAGAAAACCTCCTTTTTATTATTTTCAAACAAGAAAAAATTCCAAAACCTAAATATTGAGGGAAATCTTATTTAAGCATCCATTCTATATTGAAGTCTTAAACTTGTGAAAAAAAATTTGGTAAAACAAAATGATCAGCTGTGAGAAAAATTACCCCTGTGAAAGTTCCAAATATCAGCAATTATGATTGTAGACTTGAAGTCTGTTTTTTTTTTGTTTGTTTGTTTGTTTGTTTTTTTGTAGTTCTGGAGATCAAGCACAGGGCCTTGTGCATGCATGTGAGGCAAACACTCTACTGAGCTATATTCCCTTCCCTGGTTAAATTATTTTTAAAAACACCTCATCACTAATGGTTCCTGACAAACAGAAAATTTAAATGAGCCTAAACACACTTACTTCAACACATCCACTAAGGCTTTTTATATACCAATCTGTCAGAAATGTAACAATTCCACATTTTATCACTGATTTTTTCCAATGTAGCTCTGAAGAAGAGGCTTTTGAGATTGGAAAATTTAAGTGAATATGAAAATTAAGAAAATTTGATTACCAGACCACTGTACTTACTTCTTTGTGGGCAATTTTGATGAAACAACAAGGATCCCTTTAGTTATCATATTAAATAATAGAAGGAATTAAATTGAAAAGAATTAGGAATAGAATCTTAGTCCCCAACAATGGAATTGTTCATTAGACTGTCATTGCTTTGTTTCCAGTATTATATGGAGATAAGTTTAAGGTTAGTGCTTTTTGAAAAGGGCAGAAACAATCCTTCATCTATAAAAATTAGGATAGTTTAGGAAGGCTATTTACCTATGTTCCCCATCTCCATATGTAACAGGTGTATTGGAACCTTATAAAGCAGATGGTGTTTCCAATTTCTTTGCCCCTACAACATTCCTTTTTCTGAAAACCCAACAGAACTGCTTCTTTACCTGCAAAATAGGATCACATTCTTCAGTCCTTAAACTCCTCCAAGAACCCACCTTGATTCCCACCACCCATAAAAGAACAAGATACATTATAACATGAAAATTAGTTGCTTTTATTTACTATTAGAAACAATTTTATGAAAATGACTTGCATCCCTTCATGTGGGGAATTGCTTTAAGAAGCTAAGAAAATAGGTAATGTATGAAAAACATATGTAAATAGCTGCCAACAGATCAATTTCTTCCTATTGATCTCAGATAGCAAAAGAGAAAATAACAGCTTCTGTAAAATAAACAGGAGCAAGTCCTGCAAATGAAACTATGATTAAAGCTAAATTGTTCAAATCACTGATTTTATGACTTTCCAAAAGCAACGGTCTATGCAATCTTACTTCCTAAAGAATAAACACATAGCAAAGTAGCTCTTAAAAAAAAAAAAAAACTTCTGAGATAATTCAACATAACTTCTAACATTAGAGGGAATGGGAAGTACTGAAAAGTCTTAATATCCAAATGATGAAACCAAGACCTTCCAGTCTCAGGACTGAAATTAAGTATCAATACTCTTCATCACTTCTCTAAAAGTGATTCTAATTCTTCTTGCAAAGAACTAAGCTGCTCCTTTTCTCGGTCTTCCTTTTGTTTGAGTTCATCTAACACAGCCTGGAACCTGTTCTTGAGAGCCAGGTTTTCCACTTTCATGATGAGATCCTCTTGTCGTTTTGCTCTGTCCTGGGTCTCTTGGAGCTTGCCTTTCATATTATCAATCTGTTTCTGAATTCCCATAACCAGTTGATTGGTTCCTTCATTTTCTTGATGTTGTTCATCTGATTCATTTAGCTTATCCTGTAGCTGTCTCTCCAGATCTTCTTCAGTGTCAATGATGTTTATATCTTCTTCATCTTGATGTTGTGTCTCATCTTCATCTTCACTGCTGCTGCTGAGATCATTGAATATCTCTCGAAGCTCATCATGTTCCAATGAGTCATGGCCCTGTCTATGGCCAGACATTCCTGGAGATGAGATATCAAGGCCTTGATTTTCTGTCTCTTTTGTTTCATCTTCAGCAATTATTTCCCAACGAGTACTGACAGCTTCAGCATCTGTACTCAGCAACCGCTTCACTTCTTTTTCCACATCTGGAGATTCAATATACTTCTTCTTTGCTGTCTTCCGGAACCTTCTCTTTCTGACATTTTTCAGTGGCAGAGTAATTCCATGGTTCCAGACAAACTTTTTCTCTTTGTCCTTATCTTTTTTCTTGTTTGCTTTGGGATCAGTAGTAGCAACTGGTTCTTCCACAGGAGGATACAGGTCACCATCAACTGTGGATACAAGCATCTGACAGATATCGGCTGTCTTGTAAAAGGTTTTCTTGTCAATGGTTTTCAAGCTTTCCATAACACATGGCAGATCTACCAATTTTGAGGCCAATGGAACCCGGTCCACTCTAACAATTCCATGACGGCCATCGGGGTGTAACTCAATTGTCAGTCTGTCCTTGAGGTTGACATGGCCAGACTGTACTGCTCTCCTCACTGTAGAGGCGTATTCTGGAGGTAGGCGTAAGATAAACTGGCTCTCTAGTTCATGAGGAGCGTCATCTTTGCTCTTACTCATCTTTACTTCTTTGTGGCTCACTTCTCCTCTAATAAACACTTGTTGCACTAAAAAGTTCCAGCTACTGCAACTGTTAAAAAGATCAGTGTGTTATGAACTGAAATCTTTAATTACAAGAGTTCTAAGTAGAAAAGCAGCTAAGCAGAATAGCAAGTAAGCGTCTAAGTTGACTTAATAAGCCACAAGTCTTCTCTCTAAGGTGATAAGAGCGCGGGATGTTATTGACACTTTGGCTTATTCACAAAGTTCTTAAGTCTATTAGATGCAATGCCAAGTTCCAACCTCTAGATGCCGCTGCCGGACAAAGCAGACAGAGCAAGCAAGACAGCAAGCAGAAAGCAAATGGCGGCTCCCGCGGAGTGGATTTTCGGCACAGAAAGCAAGGCCCAGCAAACAATCCCAATCCACAAACTCTCCCGGAATAAAAAATATTCAAAAGCCGGGCGCAGTGAGCTTTCTTCGCCTCCGGTACTTACAATCCACTGCTGATTACACATTCAGCTTCTCTGCCCGGAGCCAAGCGAAAGAGGAAGCAGATGGGAGCAAAGCGCCAGCGGCTCTGAGCAGCAAAGCCTCCGGGAGCCAAGCGTCTCCTTTTCGATCTCTTTGTTCTTCCTGCTGCTTGGCAAAGTGATACGCTACAGATTAACGGTGAAAGGAGCTCTAACAAGCTGCGCAAAATCTCGCCTAAAGCCGCTGCTCTGAGCCAAATGCTCAGCACTTCAGCAACCCCCTGTTCGCAGCGGCGGAGAAGAAATTGACAGCTCGCCAGAGCGGAAGTATCTGCTGCCTCAGCGCGCGCAGCCGCAATGACGCTGTCCTGCGCAATCTCTTCTCTTCGGGAGAAAACTTAAGGGCGGAAAATGACTTCAGAAGAGGCTTGGTTTGGAAAATAAAAGATGTCTGTTCCAAGAAAGACAAATTTGCTCCCCGCTAAGTCAGCACTTTTACCGAATCGCTGTGGGGCGGGATAGCTTCTAGTCTTCCGGGTGATTACCGGAGATAGGGGATTCTTGCAGAAAGCATCTTTGCTACTGAAAACATCTCAGATCCTCCCTTGGGTGTATCCAATCTGGTGCAGCTACAAGAATTTGTAACTAACCACAAAATGGATTTTAAAGTGCCTGAACCAATGGAGTGATGAGGATTTGCTACCTACTATATGATTCTATATGTCTGTATTTTCTTAATTTTGAAATTGCCTGGAGGGGAACTAAGCCTCTAGGTTTATTTCTATTTTGGAGGACTCCAAAGGACCAGAGGTGATTTTTCTTTTTAATGTGCTTGATTGAGCTATAAATGTAAACAGAGAAGTTAGTGTTCTTTGGGAAGCAGAGGTTTATTAAGGACAGAATTGTCTGATAGAAGGTCTGATTAAAGTGTTGTATATAATTGAAATATTATGCCTTGTCTCTCAAGTAATTTTAAGTTCCTTTGGGATATTTTTCACATTAGCTTTATGGTTTTGCTGTTTTCTGCTCTCTGTTCTATGGATGTCAGGTTTTCATCAATATGTATTTATAATACTTTGGTATAACTTTAACAGCTTCCACTTCTTTATATCCATTTTCACTTATTTTTTTAGGATATGTTTGTTAGAGCATCAAAGTCATTTACATTTTCTTCCCCAGCATGGTTAAAAAAGTAATTTCTATCCTCTAAAATATTAATAACAACTTCATCTAAATCAACATAACTCTTTTAAATGTGATTAAGATTTCCAAAATTCCCTATATTTTTTATTTATTTACTTTTCTTCCTTATACTAGATTCAAGCCTCCTTGGTAGTAAGCTTTTCTGTATTGCTCATTGTGTTCCAGTGCCTAGTATGATAATATAGGAGATACACAGACCAAATTTTTTTTTGCTAATAGAATGAAATATCTGATCCATCTAGAAAGAACATGAATATAATCTAAATCCTACAATGATTTGTGAGAGAGAAGAGGTTGAATGTCACCTTAAAATGAGATAGATCCACTTTTCTATAGATTTCCTCTCTAAGGATGGTGTCAATTGTTATGAGGAACTTGCCACCAGTTTGATTTTTATGTTGACTTTAAAGGAGAAATTATGACCTTTCAAGTAATTACATTATTTCTTTTTGTTCCATAAAGTGTTGAAGAATGTTTTCTGTCTGCTTCATCTAAAGTTTCCAGGATGATCTATGTCTTCTCTTTTGAAGATGAAACTTTTTCACTTGTGCTTAATTATGTCTGATTTTACTTATTCTATAGATATTAGAGTTTAACTTACTAACCTATGCATAGTGCTTTACTTAACTGTATAAAATGTGAAACTATGCTTATACATGAAAATACTCAAAAGTATTAAAAAAAAAGTTTTTTTAGTTGTAGGTGGACACGATATCTTTATTTATCTATTTTTATGTGGTGCTGAGGATTGAACCCAGTGCCTCATGCATGCAAGGCAAGTGCTCTACCACTAAGCTACAACCCCAGCTCTAATCCAAACGTTGGATTTTCATTTCTTAGAGTTTTATTATGCTCATATATTTTTGTAACAGAAGGTAACTTGAAAATAAATTCTATGCAATTCTGATTGGCCAAATTTATGGCATATTTTAGTTAATTAATTTTTGAGATGGATGATTGTCTAAGATAATTAAAAGGATTAACTAAAGTTTTCCTAAAGTATCTGCCTCCTTCAATTCTGAAATATATTATCTGCTTTTGAGTTTTACACATTTTCTAAATGCTGTCTTTTGGGGAGTTATGTTTATGTTTACCCTAAAAGTAAAGCCTCTGCCATATTACTATCATCTTAAAATATAGTTGTTCTTTTCCCCAAAATCCATTAGAAATATAGAAACACTCTGAATTTATGAAAGAATTACTCTACTGTGATTGTTCCATGAATATCTGTAAAACCAGTGAATGGAAGATTGGAGAGAGCAGTAAATTCCCCAGTGCAGTAACAAGTCTTCCGAAGGCTTCTTTTGTATTATTAAGGAGTATGACAGGACACTGCTAATCCTGTTTGTTTGAAAATTCTCTTTAATAAACTTTCAAGTTCCTTAAAGAGCTTCTTTTTCTTTGGAGACGATGGAAGAAGTACTGCTTATATTTGGGGGGTAGAAAATTATGGAAGTTAAAAAATAGCAAACATCCCTCCAAAAAGCAAACTTCTCTATTGCTATATTACCATATATTTTAAAAGTAAAAAGCAGGTTAACAGTTCCTATATCAAGTAGATGCTTCTATTAAAAAATATATAAAAACTTAACCAATAGTGGTTTAAACAATAAGAAAATCTATTGTCTCAAAAACCAAGTAGACTAGAGTATCCTGTCCAGTAAAAATCTAATGTGGGCTCCATATGTGAGCCACAGATGTAATTTTAAATTATATAGGGGATGGGGGTGTGGTTCAGTGGTAGAATGCTTGCCTAGAATGCATGAGGCCCTGGATTTGAACCACTGCATCAAAATTTATTAATCAATTAATTGATTAGTAGCCACATTAGAGTGGCGAAAAGAAACAAGTGAAATTAATTTCAATAACTATATACCTAAAATACTAGCATAACATAATTTATATAAAAATTATTATTGATACATTTTACATTCTTGTATTTTACTAAATCTTCAAATCTAGTGTGCATTTTACACTTATAACTCAGTTTAAAGTAGCCATTTTTCATGTGCTCAATAACCACATGTAGCAGATGATGATCCTTGAAGAATAATTGCCTTGGGGCATGATACAATCATGACTAACACAAACTGTTTTTCTCTTCTAATTTTGAAGAATAAGTGTCTATTTACACTTTTTTTATTATCCTTTCAGTCTGCCCTCTTCTCCTTTTAAATGTCCAAGAGTTGTGGTCACAAGAAACATGTTGGCAGTGACTGAAAAACTCCTTACTAGTCCATGACAAGAGTAGCCTTCCCTAAACCAAAGTCTTTTGATTGGATTGCACTGACTTGGTCATGGATCTATCTATGACTCAATAATGCCTACTGAGAAAATATGCTATGACTTTCTTAAAATTGTGAGGCGATTATATTTGGTAATATGGGAATGGAATCTACTGATAACTATTAGGCAGAGGTCAAGGATCCTGCTGAACATACTGAAAGGCACAGAACAGTCCCCACACCACAACAAAGAATTAGCTGTCTCTAAATATTAGCAGAGTTGCCAGGCACAGTGGTGTACACCTGTAATCCCAGTGGCTCTGGAGGCTGAGACAGGAGAATTGTGAGTTCAAAACCAGACTCAGCAACAGTAAGGCACTAAGCAACTCAGTGAGACCCTGTTTCTAATAAAATACAAAATAGGGCTAGGGATGTGGCTCAGTGGTTAAGTACCCCTGAGTTCAATCCCTAGTACCAAAAAGGAAAAAAAAAAAAGAGTTGAGAGATCCTACATTAAGCTTATTATTTAAGCCTGTATCCCTCAGTGAGGGATTCTTGGTTTATATTGATCAGAATCTACTACAGCTATGAATAGATTAAACTTCCCTTTAGGTATATGGAGGGTGGACACCAAAACTAAAAGGAAATATTAAAAGAAAGGAAAGGGGACTGACAAACCAATAATATCAATGAAATACAAAAAAAGGCTGGGGATGTGGCTCAGTGGTTAATTGCCCCTGAGTTCAATACCTGGTACCAAAAAAAGTATATACATATTGAAAACTATTAATAGGCATCAAATTTAAATTCTTATATCTAATTATATAATGCAATTACTGGTGATTTTAGTTTTATAAGTATTTTCTACATTTTTATAGAGCAAATTTATTGTGTTGAACTTGTGGTAAACTTTTCTTTTAATAATGTACAATTCTTTTTCAATGAATAATTTCTCTAGTAACCTTTTTTTTTTTTTTAAGAAGAAGAAGCTTCAGTATTATATTGTCTTCTTCAAAAACAGAATATCAAGGTCTGGGGATGTATCTTAGTGACAGAGTGCCTGCCTAGCATGCATGAGGCCATAGTTTGATCCCCAGCACAAAGGGCAAAAAAGAGACAAGGGGAAAAATTCTGCAAGAATCTTAAGTTAACATTTAATAAACTAAAACGTTTGGTTTAGATTCTGTGGAAAGACTTTTATTTTATTTTGTCCAACTTAAATCGTGATTTGCACCCTTTCATACTAAAGCAAATAAATTTGCACCCTTTCATACTGGTAATCTACAAGTCCCTAAAATTAAGCAAATAATGTTCCGGAAATAACATGTGGGACATTTCATTCTGGGCCTCTGGGTGCCGCTGTCGGCCAGCCAGTAGCTGGAGTGAAGCAAAACAATCCACTGGCGACTCTGACACAGCCAACTGTGTTTTGAGAAATATCTCAGGAGAAGAATGCAGTCCTCTCCCCAATAGTCTGTTCCAAATAGGTCCCAAACGTCAGGATATTTAATGACCCTGACCCTGAGTGAGCCGCTGCACCTCCACTTCCACCCCAGAGCGCCTTTGTAATCCGGAAACAGAGAGCAACCGCAGCGAGGGTATTCGGGTCTGAGCAGCACCGGGAACAAAAGAGGAAGAAGCCCTATCCATACACCGGCAGCTGGCAGCGCACAGGAAGCGCGATTTCCCTGCCTGCTGACTTTATACTGCCAAAAAACTTGGTGATATTCTTGGAAAGAAGTCTGTGATTCTAAATGTGGGGAATCTGCATCTCGGTGACCAGAAACTACTGGTAAGTGCTGATAATCCTCTTACCTACCAAAGAAAGCAGAGATCTACTTGAGAATGACAGGATGGATATAGCAGAAATGCCTAAGGAAGTGTCTAAGCCACTCGAATTTGAAAATCAAATTCACTGAAAATCAGATGAAAGTTTTTGATTCATACATAGTCATCCTGGATATAAATGATAATATAATGGCTTTTGGTACAAACATTTTGTTTTGGAAATTCTGGAAAACAGCTTAATTGGTTCATTGTTTAAAGCCATCAGATTTGGATATTGGTAGTAACTTTAACTTTATTAGATTAGTTTCAACAACCATTCCTCCAACTCCCAGAACTAAAGGAGAGCACTCAAGCAATAAATATTCTGAATTGCTATTGAAGAAACCTTGGAGCAGAGAACCAGAGCTGCCACTTCTTAGTGGTGAGCATGGGACAGAACAGCTCTAAGCAAGAGAAAGCATTGGATGCAAATGTCAGACCTTGCATATTGGACCATGACATACAGGGTAGAGCCCAGCCTGCAGAACATACCCTTCACCACCTTGAATTCTTCGAGTGATCCTCCTTGATCTGATGACATCTTTAAGGTAGAGTTCTCCTACACTTTCTGCACAGTCTTGCAGAGCATACAGAATATACCTGCTGCTCCAAAATTACAGTAATGCTTGAATTTGAAAAAAAAATGACAGGAACAGCATGAGATAGAAAATTAAGAGTGGAAGAGCTCGGGAGCTATTTCAGAGTCCTAGTTGAAATGAAGATCCAGAACTATAATGCAATACAGGTGACTCTCAGCCAGGTGTCTAGTCCTATTAGAGATTAGAACTGTGATTGCCTAACCAGAACAACAGAACTGACCACCCTGCTTAAATGAAGAGGTAAAAATTCGTGTAGGGAGGAATGATCCCATTGGCAAAAAATTCACCTCCAAGAATTAGTATGTAATTATTTGTTACCTACTGATGGAATTCTAAGCTGGAAGAAGATTCTAATCTACAATGTCACTATCAGAGTCCCTCCCATGTCCCCCAAAATAAGCTATCCTTGTCCTCCAGCACAAGCCTCACCCTGCATGCTTTGAAAATGCTCTGGTTTTCTGAAGGCCTCCTTTTTGATCCAGGTGACCAGGAATACCCACAGAGACCTTTATCAAACAATTTAGCACTTCTGACCAGGTCTTAGGGCTCTCCATACCTCCTATTTCTTCCTGACCAGAGATCTGGCACTGAGAGGCACTGTTGTCCTATGTTAGTGAGTGCAAAATGCAGTGGTGTTCATTGATACTAACTTTGAACTGATTCTGGGAGTAGTGATCAGGGTTTAACAGGCTCAGTGTCATCCTGAGCCTCCCTGTAATGGTGAATAACTTCTTTGAAAGTGCAAGGAGGATGCTATCAGGAGCTACAGCTAGATGAGGCCTTCTTTGACACTGCACTGCACACTACAGTCCTGGTTATCCAGTTACCAAAGTGGAGACCAACTGGGAACAAGAGTTGACTGTTCTACCACATATTTCAGGCCAGCTAACTTAGTTCTTCAACCTAGGGATTCACATTAGTTATGTGTGTATTATGCTGCTAATAGTAACAGAGACAGAGTTTTCTGGTCACCTCCCACAGTGACAAATCATCACACTGTGTCTGGTATTGGCCAACAGTTATCAGAAGTTGCTGCTAGAAACCGCTGCCAGACAGGCAGAACTTAAGTCTTACCTTGCTCTTGGTACTCTTCTTCACAAGGACTCCGGATATCACCCTACACCAGCAACACTCCTGTAGCCCTGACAGTAGGGGATACTTTCAGCCTGGCCTCTAGTCCAAGATAGGATTTGGACTTGCCCCCAATTTAAAAGAAGAAGTTTGCTTCCCTTCCTACAATCTCTGTGTGGTTTCAAACATAAAATTTTTGTTCCTTAAAATTAATTCAAGCATCTTTCAACTAGATATTCTCTATAGTGTCAGCAAAAAAGAAGCCTTAAATGTTACATTGGATTCAAATGTATTCGTGTGAGTTTTAATATATTTATTTAGTACATCCTTTTGTAAATCATCACTGTTTGTCTTCTGTTGTTGAGTGTAGGGGGCACTTCAAGTTTAACTTTCTGGTTTTATGTGTATTTTGATTTGTCTCATTTGCTCACAATTCACTCAGAGAAAAGTTTTGTGTGCAATTAGTGTACGTTGTGTAAAGTTATGGGGGTACCTATTAAAGAGTTCCTTCCTTGCAATATTGAAGGAGGCTTATTGCATCTTCAAATTACTACTACCCTTGGGCTTCATATACTTGTTTTTTAAAAATTGAGAAACTGGGGCTGGGATTGTGGCCAGTGGTAGACCACTTGCCTAGCATGTGTGAGGCAATAGTTTGATTCCCAGCACCACATGTGAATAAATAAAATAAAGTCCACTGACAACCAAATAAATATTTTTTAAAAATAAGAAACTGCACAATTGGTTTAACAAGAACAAAAATTCTCTTAATGATTCCTGTGGCCTTTGATTATTTCTTTCCTCATATTCTGAATCTTTCTTAAAAATGATGTCTAAGTGTTGGCTGCCAGGATCTGGCTCAAGTTGTTCTTGAAAATGTTCCTGAAAACTCTGGAGTGCAGAGAGCATATCATTTAATGGTTGGATAAAGATAAACAACTCACTCTAAGCCTGAGACATTTTAGATAGTAACCTTTTTCTAATACTGCAATGAGTAAAAGAAAGAAGCCAATGTTCTCATTTTCTTAATTAAAAAATACTGCTATTTAAGAAAACCAATTTCTTTGTAGAAAATATTGTGTGATTATTAGAGAATAACACTATCCTTATAGACTGCCTTAAAATAAAGATTGTGGCCTTTTTTCTTTTCACTTATGAAGAATATTGTCATACCTGTCTCTTAAATTTGAGTTCTAAATTATATATTCATGTAATGTTTGTAAATGAAATTCCAAGAGCCCAAGTTATCTTAGTCAAAATATATTAGCTTTGGATGAATTTAATTTTTTAAAAAGCCCCACAATATATAGACACTTCCAAAAGAGAAGAAAAATATGGATCGAATTAAAACATCATCTTCAAAATCCCAAGGATTTTGTGAATATTCAAAGCACGATGGAAAAGAAACAGTGTGATCCAATTTTTGAAAGTTTAACTTACATTCTAAAAGCTTTTCTCCCTCCAATGTTTTTCATCCTTCAAAAAGAAATTGCTTTGTGTGACCTGACAAATTATCAAGTAGTCAAGATATACAACAGAGCCAGTTGCGGTGACTCAGGCCGGTAATCCCAGCCATCCAGGAGGCTGAGGCAGGAGGATCATGAGTTCAAAGCCAGCCTCAGTAAATGCCAGTCGCTAAGCAACCCAGTGAGACCCTGTCTCTAAATAAAATTCAAAATAGGGCTGGGGATGTGGTGCAGTGGTCCAGTGCCCCTGATTCCTCCTAGCAGAAAAAAACATATACAACAGAAAAGGTGGAGGGACAGTTTTCTCCTCTTTGTGGTATGAGAAAGTTCTTAACCCTTATTCCCTGAATGGCAAACAGAGAAAGCAGATAACTTGGCAATACTGGGATTCTCCCACATATTGCAATTGGGTCACCTTTACATACTTTTAAGTGAACATCGCTTCTCCTTTTCTTACATATATGGTAAATGATTAATTATTCCCTTTACAGTAAGCTAAGATTTAGGAAAACATGTTATCAGGTGAACGAAAAAGCTTTTCTAGGAGTGCAGTAACTGGTTAGAACTCTGGGCGTCGCTGTTCACCAATCTGGCAATACCAGCACTACACGCACGCCCAATTTAAAAAAAAAAAAAAATTGTTCCTCTTTAGACCTTCATCACTTGCCACGAAATAAAAGTGTCTATCTGAGGCTGCCCAAACCCTAATTCTGGATGACTCTGTGTTCGGAATTGTCTTGAAAATTGAGGTAATGTAGCCTCTGAAAAGCAGAGAAAGGATACCCTTTGATGCTAGACTGAGAAATTACGAATCCAGAGAGCAATGGCGATTCCGGCGAAGCTGACCCGCTGCAGCGGGATGGTGATGCTGTGCCTTTTTCTGGAGCTGCTGTTGGCAGCCAGTGCCAGGAATATCCTATACTCAGTGCCAGAAGAAACAGACAAAGGTTCCTTCGTGGGCAACATTGCCAAGGACCTGGGGCTGGAGCCCCAGGAGCTGGCGGAGCGCGGAGTCCGCATCGTCTCCAGAGGTAGGACGCAGCTTTTCTCTTTGAACCCGCGAAGCGGCAGCTTGGTCACCGCAGGCAGGATAGACCGGGAGGAGCTCTGTGCCCAGAGCGCACGGTGTCTGGTGAGTTTTAACATCCTTGTTGAGGATGAAATGAAACTTTTCCCTATTGAAGTAGAAATAATTGATATTAATGACAACACTCCACAATTCCAGTTTGAAGAACTGGAATTTAAAATGAATGAAATAACGACTCCAGGTACCAGGATCCCTCTTCCTTTTGGGAAAGACCTTGATGTGGGTATGAACTCACTCCAGAGCTACCAGCTCAGTTACAACCCTCATTTCTCCCTGGATGTGCAACATGGACCTGATGGGCCCCAACATCCAGAGATGGTGCTGCAGAGTCCGCTAGACAGAGAAGAAGAAGCTGTTCACCACCTTGTGCTCACTGCCTCTGATGGGGGCAGCCCAGTTCATTCAGGGACCGTCCGCATTCGTGTTCAGGTGGTGGATGTGAATGATAACCCTCCAGCCTTTACTCAGGCAGAATATCAAACGAGTGTCCCTGAAAATGTCCCACTAGGCACCCAGTTACTCATGGTAAATGCCACTGATCCAGATGAGGGAGCCAATGGAGAAGTAACATACTCCTTTCATAATATAGACCACAAAGTGGCCCAAGTATTTCAGTTGAATTCATACACAGGAGAAATATCAAATAAAGAACCACTGGATTTTGAAGAATACAAAATTTATCCAATGGAAATTCAAGCTCAGGATGGTGCTGGACTCATGGCCAGAGCTAAGGTGCTAATCAAAGTTTTGGATGTAAATGATAATGCCCCAGAAGTGAGTATCACTTCTGTTACCACTGCAGTCCCAGAAAATTTTCCTCCTGGGACCATAATTGCTCTTATCAATGTGCATGACCAGGACTCAGGAGAAAATGGTCATATCACATGCTCCATTCCTGAAAATCTACCTTTTAAATTGGAAAAGTTAGTTGATAATTATTACCGTTTAGTAACAGAAAGAACACTGGACAGAGAACTTACTTCTGAGTACAACATCACAGTAACAGCAACAGATCAGGGAAATCCAACTCTGTCTACCCAAACTCACGTTTTGCTCCTAGTGACAGACATCAATGACAATCCCCCGCTTTTCTATCAGGACTTCTATTCTATCTACATTCCTGAAAATAACCCCAGAGGGGCCTCTATCTTCTCAGTGAGAGCCCAGGATATCGACAGCAATGAAAATGCTCAAATCACTTACTCCCTGGTGGAGGACATCATTCAGGGAGCACCTTTGTCCTCCTACCTCTCCATCAACTCTGACACTGGGGTCATTTACACATTGCGATCTTTTGACTATGAACAGTTCCAGAACTTGCAACTGAGAGTGACAGCCCAAGATAGTGGGAACCCACCACTCAGCAGCAATGTGTCACTTAGCCTATTCATCCTGGACCAGAATGACAATACTCCAGAGATCCTGTACCCTGTCCTTCCTACGGATGGTTCCACTGGCGTAGAGCTGGCACCCCGCTCTGCAGAGCCTGGATACCTGGTGACCAAAGTGGTGGCAGTAGACAGAGATTCAGGTCAGAATGCATGGCTGTCCTATCGCCTGCTCAAGGCCAGTGAGCCAGGGCTTTTCTCAGTGGGGCTGCACACAGGTGAGGTGCGTACAGCAAGGGCCCTGCTAGACAGAGATGCTCTCAAGCAGAGTCTTGTGGTAGCTGTCCAGGACCATGGCCAGCCCCTTCTTTCAGCCACAGTCACACTCACCATAGCTGTGGCAGACAGCATCCCTGACATCCTGGCAGACCTGAGCAGCATCAGTACCATTGCCAACCCTGAAGACTCAGACCTCACGCTGTACCTGGTGGTGGCAGTGGCTACTGTCTCCTGTGTCTTTCTTGCTTTTGTCACTGTGCTGCTGGCACTCAGACTTCGGCGCTGGCACTCAACACGTTTGCTCCAGGCAGCAGGCAGTGGGTTAGAAGGCATGCCTGCCTCACACTTTGTGGGCATAGAAGGAGTTCGTGCTTTCCTGCAGACCTATTCCCACGAGGTCTCCCTCACCACGGACTCCAGGAAGAGTCACCTGATCTTCCCTCAGCCCAACTATGCAGACACACTCATCAGTCAGGAGAGCTGTGAGAAAAAGGATTTTCTATCAGTACCGCAGTCTTTACTTGAAGATAAAAAGGAAATATTTTCTCAGGTAATCTTGTAGTAACTTTATAAACTATCTAGATTTAAGTAATTTTTTTTTACTTACTTACTTTCACTTTTTACTACAGTTTTTTTTTCTCATGTGCCCTAGTAGATTTCTATTACAATCATTGGAGAATCGTGATTAAACAGGATTACAATTTACATTCATTATTTATTATTATTTTCACATTGAAAAGACATCTGTAATCATAGGTAGGAGATAGAGAAGAAGAGTAGGTGTATAGTGCTGCATGTTCTTTTGGAAAGAGCACCATACTAGGAAATCAGGAAATCTAGCTTCTAACATTTTCTGGCTTGATTCTGGCCAAATTATTTCATTGTTTTGAGTTTATTGTCTTCTTATCTGAAAGAAATGGAGTTTATCTAGAAAAGGCTGGCCAATATTTAGAAGACTAATACTACTTTCTCATTTCCTTAAGTTATAAGCATCTGATAATTTATTTAAAGCAGATATCATCTGTCAGGATGTTGTAGTATTTTATTTAGCAACATTTGAAAAGGTGAAGATTGTCTAAAGTAGTATTTTCAGTTATGTTAATTTAAAATTACAGAAATTGATATAAGCTGCAATTTTAAATTGTTGTTGAATATCTTGGTCCTTTGTTTAATCTTTTATTATGAGATATTTTATGAATGCTGAAGAATACATCAATTTAAGTAATTTCCAAAATGAGGGACAAAGTGAACCACAGAAAATTTATCTTGCAACTTGAGAACTTTTAAAGCCTCCTTATTGTACATTATGCCTGTAATGAAAATGACTAACAAAAATCAAGTATATATTCCATTTTAAGTTGTATTAACTCAACAGGAAGAAATACATTGTAAAGGAGTAAGCCCAAAAGAAGTGATAGGAATACATTTTGATGATATTTGCCATCCTGACTTGTTTACAGACTCTAACAATTTATCTGTATATCCACATTCATGGCAACATTATTCACAACAGCCAAAAGGTGGAAGCACTCCCAAGTGCCCACTGACAGATGGATGGATAAACAAAATGTTATATATGTGTGTGTATACACACATGTACATCATATACATATATACAAATATACATACATACATGTATAAATACAGATTAAAAAGGAAGGAAAAGGGGGAAATTTTGCCGTAATGAGACACGATGAACATTAGAGACATTGTACTAGGTGAAATACCAGTCATAGAAGGACAAATACTGTAGGATTCCTCTTATATGAGGCTCCTACATTATTCAAATTCACAGAGACAAAAGTAGAATTATGGTTGCCAAGTGCTGGAGGGAGGGGAACAGGAGCTTGTGTTTAATACAGAGTTTCAGTTGGGGAGGATGAAACAGTTCTGGGGGTGAATAGTGGTGATAGTTACACAATAATGTAATATGATTGTATTTAATGTCACGAATCACAACTTAAAGTGATCAAAGTGGGAAATTTTGTTATATGTACTTTACTGCAAATTTTCAAGAAATCAAGTCCACTTACCCTGCTGGTAAGATGATGTTTTTTTAAAATCCACATGTAAAAGCTATGTGGAGAAGGAGAGGCCATGAGACTATAAAAACAGTCTCCCAGATACCTCAGTATACCAGCTGAGCCCAGTCCTCAGATGATGCTATACAGTGACCACAAGCAAGCTAGCAAAAGAACTGAAACAACTCATCCCGTCCCAGATGGAAGATTATTGAACAAATGAATCCAAGTTGTATTAAGCCACTAAATTTTAGGAATGGTTTATTATACAGCAAAGATAACTGAAGCAATGTGCATGTGACTTGACCCAGGAATGGTTTCTAGTTGATATCCTTGGCCTAGGAAAAAATTTGTATATATGGAGAGATGTCTAGTTTTTGCCTGTTGGTGCAATAACAAAGAGGAAAAAGAGGGAAGGAAATCAAAAGAAAAGAAAGTATCATGAAATAAGTAATTTAATACCCTATTATAGATAAACAGGAATACATTTTTATGATTTTTCACATTAATGTGGTTTTATACAGCAAATAAAAAGAATGTAACATAAATAAATTTCAAAATGTAATGATGAGGAGAAAGTGACTCACAGAATAAATATGGCATGCTACTATTGAATTTCAAATAAGCAAAAATGTATGGATGCAAGTATATGTAGTTAAAGAATAAAAACATGGAGCTGGAGATATAGCTCAGAGGTAGAACACTTGATATGGTCTTGGGATCAATCCCTAACACTGCAAAATATAAAATAAAAGCATGGATGGGAATAATAAATGTGGTTCTGTATCCTGGATGTTGATTAGTTCTACAGAGGGAGAAATGTGGCTGTTACTAAAAAAGAGTACAAAAATACCTCATCTCTTCCCATGGTTTCATTTTTAAAATTTCAGGAAAGAATTATAAATGGTCAATGCCTTTTTAGAAATGGAGTATTTACCTTAGTCTCAAAGTATCTCTCTGTAAGAAAGTTATTAATTACAAAGGGAAACACAATAATTTTACAATAGGGAGAGCTGGAAGTTACAAGGAAGTTACCCTAGTGATCAAAGTTAATATTAACAGTACTGGGACAAATATATCATGTACCTCCTGATAAGATGCACTGAGAAGAATACATCATCATTCCTGTAGTATTTGTGCTATAACCTGAATCTAATCAGGAAAAAGAATCAGATAAACCCTAATGAAAGACATTTTACAAAATGCTGACTAGTGTTCTTCAAAAGTATAAAGTCATGGAATATTTAAAAAGCCTGATAAACTGCCTCAGATTAAGTGCTACTAAAAAGACATAATTAAATGCAGTGTGTGGCCCTGGATTGGATCCTAAGCCAGACAATTTTTATTTTGCTTTAAAATGTCATTATTATAACAACTAACAAAAATCTGATAATTTTTATCATATTTTGGTAATGGTAGAATGTTCTTAATTCTAAAAAAATACAAGGAAGTATTTTAAAATGAAGTATCATGTCTGAAACTTACTCTGATTCTGGGGTGGCAGGGGAGAACATGAAACCAAAATGTTAATATTTGGGGAAATGTGAGTGAAGACATGAAATCCATATCCTCAGATTTCATGTCTGTCGATTCAACCAATCATAGATTGAAAATATTTGAAAAAAAAATTACATCTATATTGAACATGTACAGGCAATCTTGTCATTATTCCCTAAACAATAAAGTATAACAACTATTTATATAGCATTTACATCATATTAGGTATTATTTGTAATCTAGAGATGACTTAAAGTGTACAGAAGGATATACATGGAAATGCTATGCTATTTTATATACAAGACTTGAGTATCCTTAGATTTCAGTATCTACTAGAGCCCTAGAGCTAATCCTCCTCAGATATCAAGGGATAACTATACATGAGAATTCTTTGCGCTGTTTTTATAACTTTTCTATAAATCTGAAATTACTCAAAATAAGGTTTGAAAACCAATCTCATTTACATATGGCAACATGTCAAGATTTGATAAAGTCAACTGGTATGCACATAAACTTTGACCATTGTATTTTCTGTACTAGTCTGTATTTTTTAAATTTTTCAAATATATTTTTGAAATAAACATATTATACAGGAGTACATAAAAATGCAAAAGACACACATGTGTTGTATTTTATGCCCTTAGAAAAAATAAATATCAGGAAAAGGAATTAGCAACCTCAGACATCTTTGAATGATTGATTCCTAGGCTATGATGAGAACCCCTTCCTGCTCAAGTTTTATCTAATTAACAAAGCCATCTTCAGTTTCCATAACATTCCATGCTGTCTCTGAGATTCTAGAACATTATTCAAGCCTCTTTGTCTATCCAATTGCACTGTTTAGGATTCATCTCCAATCATGTCCTGGAAGTCTTTCTTGATCCCTAAATATAGGCTGAATAGCCTACCTCTGTATGCCCCCATTGCCCACCTTATGTCATAGCCGTTATTATACTCTATAATAAGACCTTCTTTACTATTGTGTGTCCTCTCCAATCTTTCAAGTTTCCTGAGAACAGGTTCATTGTTTCCATCTCCAGCCTGGATCAAATAAAGTGTGAAGTACATATGCCAAATTAAGGGTCTGATGATTCAGTAAATACAGATTTGGAACTTGAATCCGAAACCATCAAGCACAGAAATTCAAAACATATAACCTTAGAAGAAAATATAGCTAGTGTTTTTAAATGGATCTTTTTTTTTTTTTTGTCTCTGTACAAATAAGGGGTGGAAAATGTTTGAAACGAGAGCAACTGTAGAGTTAATTACTTGAGCATTCAATAATACTCTAGCAACTACTATCAAGGTCACATACACTTAGACCACTGTTATTAATTCTGAGAAGAAGAGTTCTAGCTTCAAAGATTTATTTCTAAAGTGTCTTAGGACTGTAATTGTCTTTAAAGCAATTTTTAAAAAGTCACAGCCAAACATCAACAAGATATAACCGGGATTTGCCTGAGCGGGTGCAGAAACTATCTAGGCCTCTGAGCGTCGCTGTTTACCACATAAGGAGTAAAAGGCAGGGAGACAACCAACCCAACAATACCGCTTCCACAACATAAAGGGCTGGCATTTGGTCCGCAAGCTCCGGGATGGCGAAGAAACTCAGTCCGGCAGCCCGTTAGTTCTCACCACGGAGACCTGGGTCTTGTAGGTGCTGGTTGTCTCAGACCCTGGGAAATAAAGATCGGCGGAATTCCTCACTGGATGCTGGAAGTGGACTTAAAAGAAAACACCGCGGCTCTGCAAAGGGAAATGGCGTCTCTGCAAAGGTCACTGCACTACAGAAGTCTGGTCCTGCTGTGTCTTCTCTTGGCCGACCTTTGGGAGGCAGAAGCTGGGCAAATTCGCTATTCTGTGCCAGAGGAGATCGACAAAGGCTCCTTCGTGGGCAACATTGCCAAGGACTTGAGCTGGGAGCCCCTGGTACTGGCAGAGCGGGGAGTTCGCATCGTCTCCAGAGGTAGGACACAGCTCTTTGCTTTGGACCCACGAAGTGGGAGTTTGATCACTGCAGACAGAATAGACCGGGAGGAGCTCTGCGCTCAGAGCGAGCGGTGTTTGGTGAACTTTAACATACTACTGGAAGATAAATTGACCATTTATTCAGTAGAGGTGGAAATAACAGATATTAATGATAATGCCCCTCGCTTTGGAGTAGAGGAACTGGAGCTAAAAATAAGTGAAATGAATACACCAGGATTCCGGATTCCTCTTAAGAGTGCGCATGATGCGGATGTAGGAGAGAATACCCTGAAGAAGTATGAACTCAACTCAAATGACCATTTTTCTCTGGATGTGCGAAGCGGAACTGATGGGAACAAATACCCCGAGCTAGTGCTGGAGCGTGCTCTGGATCGTGAGAAAGAGGCAGTTCACCATTTCATTCTGGTCGCTTCTGACGGGGGTGACCCGGTCAGATCTGGAACCTGCCGCATCCGTGTCAAGGTCCTAGATGCAAATGATAATGCTCCGGTTTTTACACAGCCAGAGTACCATGTAAGCGTTCCAGAGAATATGCCTGTAGGCACCCGGATACTCACAGTGACCGCCACTGATTCGGATGAGGGATATAATGCTCAAGTCACATATTTCCGAGAGAAACCTCCTGGAGAAAAAGCAGAGATATTTGAGCTTAAGTCATCTGGAGATATAACAATCATAAAAAGTCTCGACTATGAGGATGCTAAGTTACATGAAATTGATATTGAAGCTCAGGATGGTCCAGGCCTTCTGACCAGAACAAAGGTTATTGTAACAGTTCTGGACGTTAATGACAATGCCCCAGAATTTTACATGACATCTGCTACTAGCTCAGTTCCTGAAGACTCTCCTCCAGGAACCATAATTGCACTTTTCAATGTACATGATAGAGACTCTGGACAGAATGCTTTTGTCACATGTTCACTCCCAGAGAAACTTCCTTTCAAGTTAGAAAGGTCAGTGGACAATTACCACCGACTGGTTACAACCACAACTCTTGACAGGGAACAGTTTTCCTTTTATAACATCACTTTAACTGCTAAAGATGGCGGGAACCCACCTCTATCCACAGATGCTCATGTTTTGCTGCAGGTGGCTGACATCAATGACAACCCGCCCACATTCCGCAGCAGGTCCTATTCTGCCTATATTTTGGAAAACAATCCCAGAGGCACCTCCATCTTTTCAGTGTTGGCTGATGACCCCGACAGTGATGACAATGCCCGTGTAACTTATTCTTTAGCAGAGGACACCTTTCAAGGAGCACCCCTGTCCTCTTACATCTCTATCAACTCTGACACTGGGGTCCTTTATGCTCTTCGCTCCTTTGATTATGAGGAATTCCAAGATATGCAGCTGTGGGTGATAGCGCTGGACAGTGGTAACCCTCCACTCAGTAGCAATGTATCCTTGAACCTGTTCTTGGTGGACCAGAATGACAATGTGCCTGAGATCCTGTATCCTACCCTCCCAACTGATGGATCCACTGGTGTGGAGCTGGCACCCCGCTCTGCAGAGCCAGGATACCTGGTAACTAAGGTGGTGGCAGTAGACAGAGACTCAGGCCAGAATGCCTGGTTGTCATACCGCTTGCTGAAGGCCAGTGAGCCTGGGCTTTTCTCTGTAGGGCTGCACACTGGAGAGGTGCGCACCGCAAGGGCCCTGATAGATAGAGATGCACTCAAACAGAGTCTCGTGATGGCTGTTCAGGACCATGGCCAGCCCCCTCTCTCGGCCACAGTCACACTTACAATAGCTGTGGCAGACAGCATCCCCGAGGTCCTGGCAGACTTGGGCAGCATTGAAACACCTGCTGATCCAGATAATTCAGACATCACACTCTACCTGGTAGTGGCAGTAGCCGCTGTCTCCTGTGTTTTCCTGGCCTTTGTCATAGTGCTGTTGACACTCAGGCTGCATCGCTGGCACTCTTCCCGCCAGCTTCAGACTGCTGGAGACAAGCTGGCAGGTGTACCCACCTCGCACTTCATGGGTGTGGATGGAGTGCACGCTTTCCTGCAGACTTATTCCCATGAAGTCTCCCTCACCGCAGACTCACGGCAGAGCCACCTGATCTTCCCTCAGCCCAACTATGCAGACACGCTCATCAGCCAAGAGAGCTGTGAGAAAAAGGATTTTCTATCAGCACCTCAATCTCTACTTGATGAAAAAGGAGATAAAACATTTCAGGTAAACATATTTTCAGAACTTGCTTATTAGGTATTTTGCTTGAAAAAAAATTAGCCAATTATTGAGTTGTCTGCACTGTTACTATACCCATTTTATCCATATTTCCTTGAGGATGTATTTATTTTTTAGTAAATGAGTCCTGGAAAATTATTCCTAGGTAATTTCACGTGTTCACAGGCTGTAAGACAGAGTAGAAGCCAATCGAGTAATTGGTGAAAACCAGTCGTTAAGAGGTGATGGTGGTATTTAGGTAATCAAAAAAAAAAACAAAAAAAAAAAAACACTGCCTCAGAGAACTGGAATATCTGCTTTCTCCCACTTTTCTACCCCTGGACAAATCATCTGCATGAATTAAACAATTATTTCTGTCTTAAAAATGTGGAAGTTAGATTTCATTTTGACTCAATACTCTTCTTTAAAACAAGACTTTGGGCTCATATTTGAATTTTTGTATAAATAATGAACATCTTGGTTAGTTCTTTCTCACTTGGTCTTAATATTTTTCTTTTCATTTGTCAGTGAAGTTCTTTATTTTCCTAATTTGCATGTCCTTACCTATTAAAATGGAAATTTAGAAATATAGTTTTATTTTCTTTTGGTACTACAGATTGAACTGTGGACTTCTTAGCATTCTCTCTATCATTAGGTACACACCAAGCCCAGAAATAAACATTCTTTATAGTGTTTCAGAAAGGCACATCATGGTAGCTCTGCTTGGTATAAGTCTCATGGACCTCTAAAGCAGCTATGTATTCCTTTAATAACTGGTTTATCATTTGCTCTATAATAAACTGGTAAAGTGACAATACACAGGTTTCCCTTTGCTAATACTTTTTGTCTCATATCTAGAAACCATGTTGCCTTTTATCTTTAAAAATAGTTTATATCTTCAATATAACTTTTCTTAAAGAAGGGATTCAGAGACTGCATAGTACAATTGCCCCTAAAGATCTTTGTACATCCATCTTCTCAAAGTTTCCTACTTATAGTAGCTGCTAAAGAATGTTCCAAATCCCTCACCCAATCCAAGATCCTCCCACAATTACATTTTTCTTCCACATTCTCCTTCCTATGTTGGATTTTAGTATGTGGGTAATATTTTAATAACAGAAGACAATGAACACACTAATATTCTCTGTGTTGGAATCATTTCTTATTTTGATCTGGAAGTAATAATGTACTAATTGAGTCTTGTATTTAATGGTATTTAAGATACTGTGGTTCCTTTTCATATTTAAGAGGATCTGTTAAGGGAAAGTTTGAGAAAATGTATGCCATTGTGCTTATTAATATTACACAAAATTATGTATGAGGTAAAATTGGAACATACTATGGAATAGTATATTAAAATATAGTTGCTTGTAAGTAAATAATAAATTATGAACAGAGGAAAATTAAAGGCACAGTTCCTGCCAGGCATTGTGTGCATACCTATACTTTTAGCTACTCAGGAGGCTGAAGCAGGAGGATCGCAAATTCAAGAAGAAGTGAAACCCAAGCTCAAAATCAATAAATAGATAAAAATGGTTGGGAATATAGTCCAGTGATTGAATGCTTGCCTAGCTTGTGTGAGACCCTGAGTTCAATACCCAGTACTGCAAGAGAGAGAGAGAGAGAGAGAGAGAGAGAGAGAGAGAAGAGAGATCCTTTTAGCACATGCGGTGACTCCATAAGAACAAATGTCTATGGGGCTGGGGCTGTAGCTCAGTGGTGGTGCACTTGCATAGCATGTGTGAGGCACTGGGTTCAATCCTTAGCACCGCATAAAAATAAACAAATAAAATAAAGGCATGCTGTCCATCTACAACTACAAAAAAATTTAAAAGAACAAATGTCTAATGGATAGACATTCCATGTATCATGATTGAAATGACATATATGTTTTATTTGTACTGTGCATGAAGAGGAAAACATATAGGGAAAGGAATTCTAGAACATAAAATAAAAGTTGATATCTACCAGCTTCAGTTGTGGTTTTAAAAAAATCCTCATATTCTAGAGGTAGGCAAAGTGATGTTCTTTCAGTACCCTGAAGGGCTGTGATTTCTCTCTAACATCTAGACATTGCCATGCTATTCTCTCACATGAAGGCCTTTTCCCTGATCCACTCCTCTCATGTTTCCCAAGAAGGCCTTTGCTAACTTCCAAAGCCAGTTGGAGGCCATTTCATCCCCTTGACTTTCCCCATCATAGTAGTTATCTCAGTGCACTGTGATTTCCTGTTTGCTTTTACATCCTCATAAATTCTGTGATGGAAGTGCTTGTATCTATATTGTTCACCTTCAGTACCTCAACAACTATATTGTCAGACACCCCATTGTGTGTTTGTGCAATGAAGAGGCTGAATCACAAATATTAAAACTAATATGCTGAGTTATTAACAAACTTCAAGAAATGTAATCTATAAATACGGCTCACGTTTATTGTGGTTCTTAAACTGAACATTTGGAATCAGTAACTCCACCAGGTTTGAAGCAAATAGGGTGGAGTTAAGGTTGATGCGTGGCTTCCAAAAGAAAGTCTCTTGAACCTTTAATACATATCAATTCAATTATATAGTCAACACCAGTCCCCTTCCCTCTGATAAAAGGATCTTCAAATACTGAGAACCAAAAATAATAACTTCTGTTTGTCTGAGAGTGTGCACTAAACGGTCAGGCCTCTGGGTGTCGCTGTTGACTACTCAAGAAGGAAAAAACGTAACTGGAGAGCTAGT